ATTTATTTATTATTCTGTTTTGAAGAATAGAGAACAAAGAATGGAAGTTTTCATTGCAATGACTGTGAATCAATCCAGCATTTTAACAAAAACATTGCTAACACTTTGGAAACCTTTTCTTTAATCAGATATTTAATACTGCAGGAATCAGAAATTGATAACGGTGATTTTTTAGCGGCTTTGAAAATTGAAACAATGGCTTTTTCAGTCTGTAGCAGTAGTTCTTAACTGTCAGTCTAACATAGCTAAAAAACTATTAAGAGAAACAGAAGTGTTTTTTTTTTTTTTTTTTTTTTCTTTCTTTCTTTCTTTTAAACCATTTCCATCATTCCATCATCCTTTTATTATTTTTTTAAAAGTGTTTCTCCACAAGAATGTACCTGTTATTGGTACTGATGAACATCTCCCTGTAGTTCTTAAATCTTTCTTAATTCATAGGGAAAAACTAGACTGGTCCTGAAGATCATCAAATCCTTTAATATCTGGGAACCATATCTCCTGTCTCTTTTAATAACTTTATATTGAATGTCCTCTTAAAACTGGATAGCTCTTTGAATTACAGGTTGCAGTCTGATCTGCAACTTTGTTGAAGAAAATTGGGTTAAAGTGTTTTTAGCCTTCCGCGATTTATATAACATCTTCTTCTATTTGTAACTTAGAAATATCAAAGAGAAGCCTTTTTTTTTTTTTTTTTTCCTTCAGCAAGCATATTACAGAACATATACACTGAAGTCATAGACTTTTCTAATTTTCTAAATTCTAGCCTTCAGTGGTTCTGTGAATGGTCACAGAAAAAGGATGCCTGTGGCCATGGGGAACATACTCAGTACAGGTCTATATGTATGTAACAATTACATAAAAGAGAACAAATTCAAAACATAATACTGAAAGAGATTACCTCGGAATATCTTAAAGCTGAATCAGGACAGGAATTTGTTTTCAGAGCAGAAAGTTAAAAGTTTCAAATTCTTATCCTAATAAGACTTGGACTTTGATGACCCAAGTGGGAGTTTTAACTATTGGGCGGTAACATATAAAAAAGCTGCATGGATTTTTATTTCCGTAAGCTTTTTTATTGACCCATTTAGAAATGCTGTAAGTAAAAGTTGTGTTAGACTCCTAATTATCTTACCTGGTTAGAATTTTTCTATAGTATTCCATAAAATCATAGAATGGTTTGGGTTGAAAAGGACTTGAAAGGTCATCTAGTTCCAATCCTCCTGCGAAGGACAGGGACAATTTACACTAGACCAGGTCACTCAAAGCCCCATCCAACCTGGCCTTGAACACTTCCAGGAATGGGGCATCCACAGCTTCTCTGGGCAACCTGTTCCAGTGTTTCTCTACCCTCAGAGTGATGATTTTTTTCCTTATATTTATTCGAAATCTCTTTTACTTTAAAATCATTGCCCTTTGGCCTATTACTATGCTCCCTGACAAAGTCCCTTCTCAGCTTTCCTGTAGGCCACCCTTAGGTACTGGAAGGCCACTATAAGGTCTCCCCAGAGCCTTCTCTTATCCAGGCTGAACAACCCCAACTCCATCAGCCTATCTTTTTAGGAGAGGTGTTCCAGCCCACACCTTTGTGGCCCTCCTCTGGGCTGTCTTTAATAAGTCTATGTCCTCCTTATAGGTTAGCAAAAATAACCAACCAAAAATCCAGAAGTCCCCAACCATTCAAAACTCTCCAACTTTTTTGGAGCTTGAACTGAACAGAGGAATACATTACTCATAGACAGGGAGTCTCAGCTCCTACTACTGGGTTGAGGATCAGCCCAACAAGTCTTCCAGCAGTAAAATTTACTAACAAAACTCCTACAAAAATTTCAAATAATGTGGCACTCACATGTTAAAGCAAAGATGTCTAACTAGGGCTGTTCAATTACACATAATCATAAATACTTATTCTGTAGGTACACATGCATGGGTGGACATTATTAGGTACATACATGCTATAGACCAGGCTTATTGATACTAGAGAGACCAAGAGTGGGCAGAATAATTGTGCATACTGAGCTTTATATTATGTTTCTTCCTCCAGAAAGTAGTGAGAAATTTTTATGTTCAGAACGCACTGTCAAGTCTCAGGAACTCTACTTAACCATTACAATTTCATGGGTTTCTGAAAAATTTTATACAATGCTACTCAAAGCGTTGCTAAAAATCCACAGAAGCAAGGATTTTAAACTATGACTTTTTATTTATTTAATTAAATTTTTATTTACAGGAACTTAAAGAAACAGTTGCTTCAGGCTGCATAGGATAAAGAAAAGATTGCTGCTTTTTGCTTCTCTGTGCCCCTATTAAACTTCCTTATATAATGTTAAATCTCTTTGAAAATCAGGCTAACAAACACAGTGTAAGAATATACAGTACAGCTGACTGGAGCAATAATTAAAAAAACAAAAACCAAACCACACACACACACGCACAAACTAGCTTTGTGCTTAGGTGGATCTATTTCTATGAGAGAAAAAATCCCTTTTTAAAAAAAAAAGGGAATTTTGCTTTACTGTGCACATCAGTTCTGTCCTTTTGTGCAGCATTTGATGAGCTGTAATTGTATTCTTGGCAGTCACAATGAAGCACATTAATTTTGCTTTTAAGTCTTTTGAAATACAATAGAAAAATATGCAAATGGTTCAGGAGGAAGTATGTAATTCAAAAGAGGTGTTAGAAGTTTCATTGTCTTTTCAGGACTACTTTATTCGTCAGGATAAATCAGGAGTCTATTTCCACCCCAAACTTTGAAATACCATTTTTACACATCCTGATGAAATTCTAGCATTTCTAATGTGTGTGGGAGGGAGGGGGGAGTTTATGTCGTTGCTCCTATTATTTAATTGTATATGTATCTACATGTTAAAATGGGCCATTCCCTTATGGATTTACTTAAAAATAAAACCATCCCACTGATAGTAACTGAATTAAAGTCAGCAATGTAGGGAGCAAATTAGCTCTATTCTTACAGTCTTTTTGTGAATAAATCTGCCAATAAACCCTTGATATGTCAGAAGTCTAGCATATGATCAAGTATATCTTACAGAAATTAGGTTTGTAAAGTGACACAGCTTTCATTAGAATCCCGGGAGGCAAGTGACTTGTCAAGACCTATAACCTGAACTCTTGCCAGTCTGAGAAAAGCCCAAATTATAATATAAAATTGTCTCCTGTTTACTTGTGAACAGATTCTGATAACCATGCAGAAAGGTTATATATGTTATACACAAGCTATCTTTCTGTGTGATATTTACCTGAATTTGCAGAGGTGTTCATATACTAACTCACAGAACATGAATCAATAGGCAAACCCTATGTAGGATGTTGCATCGATGACATGATGGGCAAGATCCGTATGCATGACACTTGAAGACTTATTCTCCATATTGTTTTTGATCATTTCTGTTTGTACCTGACTTAACTAATTAGAAATTCTGGTAGCTGCATTGCTTCTTTATATCTAGTTTTGAGGTATTCTTGCAGAAACTTTAAACTGCTTTAAGCAGCTAGATGAAAAAGGTTTTATTCACTGAAGGCCAGGGCTCTTGGAAGCTGCTTTGAGTTCTTAAGGGTCTTTCTGACCATTGCTTGAGATCCTGTCAATAAGGTGAAGAAAACTTCTATTGCAGAAATAGTGGAACACTATGCAGGCAGCTTTGCTGTAAACATCCTGTGGATTACACAGAAGTAACTTGCTGGAGTGGCAGGTGGATAGCTTGGTTTGATACTTGTTACTTTCCAGAATTTAGTGCTCCAGAAGCCTCATTTCTCAGAGGAACAGTGGAAAGATTATACAAACTGAGCGATGTGATGGCTTGAATAATACTCTAATAGTATTTAATGCTTGGGGCATCAGAAATGTATTAGCATGATTGTGGATATAATGCTTCTGATGTGTGTCATGTATAAAGTCTTGGTCTATTGTCTCTCTCTCTCTGCAACTTTTTTTTTGGAGAACAACAACATCAAAAAACACCTCACACCACACCTGCACCTTTAAAAACTTACCATTTTTTTGAAGGGTTTGATGTTCCTTAAAAACAGTACTAATTTTGATGATCAATTACATAGTGACAGAGTTTAAATGAAGTCACTTGAGTGAAGCTGAATAGCAGATTTGGCATGAGCAGGTGGGTTAAATGCTCTGATTCTCTCAGAGTTTTTCCCCCAGTTCTCTAGTCCCTCTAGTTCAAATTCCAATCTCAATCTGAATTCAACCCCCATTTCAAGTGGGATAGCACATGGAGCAGATGAAGCATAAAACCATCCTACCAAACAAACAACCCACAAAACACTTTGTGTGACTGTCACCTTTGGAGTAGAGATATGCTTCTATGACTCACTTTATGCTTAGCTTGATGACAATGCAAATGAGTATTGAAATCTATTGCTTGCTGTAGATCTCTCTATGAACATCAGGCCATATATAAAGGCATTGAACACTCTTCCCCATGTGAGCTTCTAGAAGTTACTCAGTACTACATGATCACAAGCATTGTCATGACTGCTTTTGCTTTGATTTTCCAGCTCGTTTCTAAGAGGTGTCTTAGCCAGAACAACTTGTCAGCTGGAAAGAGAGAGCACTCTTTCCACTCGCTAGCGAGCATCCCTCTGGAACACTTGTGTGATTTTCTCTTATGAAATCAGGTGAGAAAGGAAAATAAAGAAACAGCAGCAACTTAAAATGGCTGTCACTAGGCATTTAATATCTCAGAGTTTTGACTTACGAGCAAGCTATTACCCGTCAGCTGTACTGCACTAAGTACAAAATAGAAACAACCCAGGAAAGTTATTGTAGAGAAAACACCTCTGCCAACTTACTATCCTGAGGGAACTTCTGTTCTTAATGCTTTGGGAAGAATGGAGCAATTAACGCTTGTGAAGCTCAAGCGGCTGTTGCTCATTAAGTTGCACTTAATGTATATTTCTCGTGTTTTATCTGTGCTTTACATTGGCCCCAAGAGGCTAGCTGGGGGATAAAATGTTGTTGTTTTAAACATGCTGTAGGGTAATAGCTATTGTGACTACCACAGGGAGCTTGTGTAATGCAAGGGGAAGACAGAAACAGAGATGGAGAAAGGGATGAAACCAAGTATGTGTCTGCACTGTGCTAACCAAGGGGGAACAGATCTTTTGGCTTAGTGGGTTTGGGTTTTCTTTTGTGCCAAGTACTTTAGGCTGTATGGCCTTGAGCTGTTCATTTTAGCCTTATGTTCTCATTTTGAGTAGCTTTTACTTCTGAGAAAGGTATGTCTGATGCTGTTGTGTGCTCAGGGATAGGTGTTCATTTCTGATGGTCTGCAAATGAGGTGTGTATGGGAAGTACTGAAAATTACTAATGCTTCTAAAAGGTTTTTAGTCTTAATGCTCTTTTAATCTGTTTCTACTTGCAGATGAAGCTCTGTGAATTCTGTTTTTGGCAGTAAGAGATGCTTAAGAGGTTTCTGACCTCAGCTATTCTTTCCCATCCTCACAGTGAAATTATATAAAAATAACAGGTGGGGGGCTGTATGGTAAACGGAACTGACTTCAATTTAGAAAGTATTAAAGAGTATTTTTTCATGTTGTGAATGGAGGGAAAGGGAGTATATTATTCCAATGACTAGCTAGGTTCCAGGGTATTTGGAGAGTACACAGTGAGTGATACAACGTTGAGACATCCCTAAGTTAACATTCTAAAGAGAACGTTCATTGAACCACAGACCACAGTTTAAATTTGTTGTTTATTTGTGCAAGTAGTCTCTGCTGTTTATTCTGGAATTGCTAACAGTGAACCACTACCTTCAGCCTTTTATGAAAAAGACAGTTATGTACCTTAAGCTCATGGTTTTGCCCTCACCCTTTTGAAAAAAAAAAAATATATATATATATATATATATATATATTCATTGGCTTATTTATTTATTTATTTTATTATTATTTCCTTTCTTGGTTCATGTATATTATGGCTATGCACATCTGTACTTTCAGGTACATCAGTCTGAAAACTTAGATTCTATAGTTGTCCCATAGCAAAGATTGAAATTTAGTTATTGATACTCCAAGACTTGATTTTGCAAGAGTGTTGTGATATATTGATATATTCCGTCTTGAGACGGAATTTTAGTTTGGTTGGCTGGCAAGGTCTAAAAAGAAAACTCATTTATTTATTTGTTTTAGCGAATGATGGAAATACCAGGTGTATGTAAAAAGTGCAGTGCAGAAGGCTCTTCATAATGTGCAGTTGATTTCAGTCTTGCAGATGACATTTTAAAATCCAAAGGTTTCTGAGAATGTCTCCAAATGAGAAAGAGATGGACAATGGCTTCCAGTTTGTTGTTTTATTTTACTCTGTGTAGTAGTGCCAAGTCAATAAAGCCAATCTTGTGACATTTTCATAGTCATTTTCACAGATATTTTTTCCTATTAAAATTGCTAAAATAGTCAATAACACAGGATGAATGGAAGTTACAAAACTTTTTTTGGTATATATTTGAGCAACCTGGTCTAGGGGAAGATGTCCCTGTTCATGCCAGGGGAGTGGAACTAGATGATCTTTAGGGTCGTCTCCAATCCAGATCATTCTGTGATTCTATGACACATGGCTGTCAGTCAGCTTCTGTGCTTGGTTGTTGGTTTGTTGCTGTCTGTGGACGAGGAAGGGTTTTACACACAGGAACCTGTTAAGGAGCTTTATTTTTTCCTTTCTATGTAAGAAGTAGAAAAACTGTGGGTTAAGGATATATTGTTTTGGTAAAGACAGAAACCTTGAAATGAGAATGACAGTAGTTACAGGAGAGAAGAGAATGGGTAGGAAAATGTCATAAACTGATCTACTTCTTACAGAAAAGCAAACACTACTTATCAAAACATTGGGAATGAAATTACAAGCAGGGAGTTCTCAACTCAGTTTGTCTCAGTGACAGAAAGGAATCTAAAGTGTTTGGCTCTGTCCTTTCTTGCTGTCTCCCTTTTGATCCTCCTTTCTGCTCAATCTCATTCATTTCTGTTTTCACTAGCCTTTCTCATGGAGGGATTTCCCTTGGTATTCTCCTTTAATAAAACAGAAATCTAAGTTTCTATGTTTACATGAATTTTCTGACAGCCTCCAGGCTTGACTTACTGCTCCTGTTGTTCAAAATGAATTGCATTAGGCAATTATGAGGTTGATGTATATTTAATCTATGGCAATATTATCTGATAAAGAAAATTTATCTGTTCAATGCATAATCATGGAAGGAAGTGTGGATTTATCCGTTCCCCTGACATAGGGGAAAGAGAAGTGGAGAAAGCTGAGAGTGAAAAGGCTACTTTGGTCCCCTGTGTAAACTGAAATTTCATTTCACTGGTAATTGCCTTCAAAATCCTAGAAAAGGCACTGTTGCTGTAGCTATGGCATTCCTCAAAATAGCAGAATCCACATATATCCTCTTTTGTTTATATCCTTCCAAATATATCCCTCATTTGGTCTCTGCTTTGTGGGTGGTATGACCTGTGGGTCAGGACCACTATCTACTGCAATTCCTGGAGTTTTATTAAAAGGCTCCGTGTGTGATGGTGCCTTCCCTGACTGGGAAATTGGGTTAGAAACAGCAAGAAATGTTAATGGGGAAAAGAATAACTCATGTTTATAGACAGAACCTTGAAAAGATGGCCTGTATGTATCTAATGTATTCCACTCTGAAAGCAGATTACTCCCCCTCAACCTCAAAGCATCTTGTGGATGTCTGCTAAAAAATGTTAGTGAATTTAGGTGACTGGCTCTAGATTTTTTGAACAGATGGATTTATAATATGATACTGCAGATAAATATATAGTCTAGTTTAATGATACAGGGCCATCTAAATGGATTACATGGCTTTTATATAATTTTGCTTTTCAATGCCAGTAAGGCACAGATAGACTTGGTCAGGAGTATGTCATAGGTGAAACACTCCGAGTCTTCTGAAATGACTGTAAAGCTACTTATTGTTCATACAACTCTAAGCACTCTTTCATCTCTGTCAAGAAAGAGGATTGTTTATACTGTATGATTTGAAGCATCTAACCGAGCTAGACTTGGCACTTAATTTACACACCTACGTAATCTCTACAGGGAGGGCGGCACTCCCAATTGCTTTCCTGGGATGCTTATCTTCCTCTGTTGACTGAGCAAGGACGGGTGTAGGGGGAGGGCAAACTTCCCTTATATTTAATCATAAAGACATGAACATTTCCCATTTTTGCCCTCTCACCCATTCTGTTGAATGGTTTATTCAAGCAAACTAAACTCTGAACCTGAAAAAAAAAAAGGGAAAGTATGTGGTGATTTAAAAACAAAGGAAAAGGCTGTTCCAGAGAGCAGGCAAAATGTTGTGTGTGTTTGTTTGAAGTAGTTAAGCTTGAAGAAGAACAGTAGGGAGCTGAATATAACAGCCTTGAAAGCCATTCTACTACTGGTGTATAAGATGAAAGATAAGAAAATTGGCTCTTACTCTATCTCAATAGCATAAGCCTTGCAATCAAGGCTGTTCTTGTTTTAATTGTCACCTGCACTCTCACATGACTTAGTGTTTTTCTACAGACTAGTGTTTGCATTTTGTGGTGGTTGCATCTATAGCTAAGAGTGATGATGTATGTCCAGCCCAGCCTCTGATCTCTGTCTGAGAGCAGGCTCCTTTTCAATACTCAGTATGTGGTTCCAGACAAGAATGTTGGGAATGTTTTGTGCTTGAGAAAATGCTTCATTTTTATTTAGATCTCCCACCTCCTCCCTTCTAGCTTTTCTGCCAGTGGAAAAAATGTTCCATCTCTGAATCAAGAGGGACTTCTTAGCAGTATTTTTTGCTGTTAAGACTGAAAAAACTCTTATTGTAGAAATGGAAATCCAAGCTGTGTAGGTTTTCTTGAAAATTTAAATATTTAACTTAAGCATTTGAAAAAAATAGATCTTGAATTTCATTATTTGTTGGCAAACGCTGTTTACCTGGGAATAAACCCCCAATGTTTCAATTAGTTTTTTTTTTTTTGCAAAAAGCAGGCAAAGAACCAATAGTTTCAGAAAAAAATATAGTTGTCTTCTCTCTTTCTTTTACATTAATATGAATCAACAATGGCTTTGGTGAAACTTTTTGAAACAGTTGATATAAAAATCAATGCATAGTAATCCAAAGGACTATATATATAAAATCCATAATAATCCCAATCCATATGTGGCAGTCCCATCAGACAGCTGGGGTCAATTGAACCCATTATTGGTTTAAAATTTTGATAAATTGAGCACTATTGGAATACCAGAGGTGATGTTTATCAGAAGATATAAGGTAGTGTCCACTGGGAATCGTGGTAATTTTCATATTTTAAAGAGCTGATTCCTGTTTGAGAAGAGGAACTTTTGTCCTGACCTCAGGTAGAATGCCCTAAAATTTTCACTTTTTCAGAGAGATCATTGTTGTTCATAGCTACTGTTTGAGTATAGAAGCATACTTGGGCAGGGAAAAACTTAGTTTTGTTAATCTCATTTCCCTACAGATTATTATTATTATTATTATTATTATTATTATTATTATTATTATTTAATAAAGAAGTTTAGTGCCATTTTTAAATCTACTTAAAATATAGGGTATAGGTAATAGGGTGCTGCTTCTCTAATGCTAAGAATATTCCTTTAACTGCAGCTTTTATCCAAAAAGTTATTATTATCCTTATGACATTTTTTTCTTTACAGTCTTTGTATTAGCCAGCATGATGTATTTGGGAATCTTCTAATTTGTAACAACCAATGTGTTTTTGTTGAGAACACTCATGTCAAACCAACCTAATTTATTCTAATGACAAAGTAACAGGCCTTTCAGATAGGAAAAAGGTGTATATTTTAGTAAAGCTTTGTTACTGACTTGCACGATATTCCCACAAGCAAACTAGATTAACACATCTAAGTAATAAATGATAATAATAATAAAATTTTCAGTAGTATAGGGAAAGAGTGGATGACTATACAAAGCAGGATCCTTTTAAGATTTTTCCTGGCTGAAAAACAATTCAATGATTTCATCAATTACTAGGATGGTAAAATTGAGCACTCATAAAATCTTCAAAAGACACCTTAATGGGCTGGACTGCAAATGTGATGAC